TTCCAGCCCCGCAGGCGGCTGTACCTGGGCACAGGTAACACCTGTCACACCTGGGCACAGGTAACTGTCACACCTGGGCACAGGTAACTGTCTCACCTGGGCACAGATACCTGTCACACAAACAGCGTGTTCCACCCATGCAGACGGCTGTACCTGGGGACAGGTACACCTGTCACACCTGGGCATGGGCACACCTGGGCACAGGTACCTGTCACACCTGGGCACAGGTGTTGTGAGCAGCACAGCTCCCCCTGTTCCCCTCAGTCCCACCTGGGCAGGTGTTGTGTCCCCCCTGTTTCTGCCAGTCCCACCTGGGCAGGTGTTGTGCCCCCCCAGTCCCACCTGGGCAGGTGTTGTGGCCCCCCAGCTCACCTGGGCAGGTGTTGTGTCCCCCCCAGCTCACCTGGGCAGGTGTTGTGTCCCCCCTGTCCCCCCCAGTCTCACCTGGGCAGGTGTTGTGTCCCTCCAGTCCCCCCTGGGCAGGTGTGGTGCCCCCAGCTCACCTGGCGAAGGTGTCTGCGCTGAGGACGCAGCCGATGATGTTGCCCAGGTGTGGGACGTTGTTGACGTAGGGCAGGGCGCTGGTGATCAGCACGTTCCGCTCGCCCTCCACAGGTAACCTGGGGGGGGGGGCGGGGTCAGAGGGGTCCCCAACCACCCCCAACCCCCCCAACCCTCCCAACACCTGGGCACGCACACGGGGGCACCGGGACAGGGGGCACCGGCCACTCACACAGGTGTGTCACACACACAGGTGTCACTCACAGAGGTGTTGTCACACAGACACAGGTGTCACACAGGTGTCATTCATACAGGTGTGTCACACACACACACAGGTGTCACAGGTGTCACACAGGTGGGTCACACAGGTGTGTCACTCACACAGGTGTGTCACCCACAGAGGTGTCACAGGTGTCACACACACAGGTGTCACAGGTGTCACACAGGTGTGTCACACACTCACACAGGTGTGGGTGGCTCCCATGGCTGGGTCAGTGCCTCAGGTCACTGTGCCCAGGTGTCACTCACACAGGTGTGTCACTCACACACACAGGTGTCTCACACACAGGTGTCTCACACACACACAGGTGTCACACAGGTGTGTCACACACTCACACAGGTGTCACATACATACAGAGGTGTCACAGAGGTGTGTCACACAGGTGTGTCACTCACACAGGTGTGTCACTCACAGGTGTGTCACTCAGGTGTGTCACACACACAAACAGGTGTGTCACACACACAAACAGGTGTGTCACACACACAGGTGTGTCACACGGGTGTCACAGGTGTGCGTGGCTGCCGTGGCGGGGTCAGTGTCTCAGGTCCCTGTGCCCAGGTGTCACTCACACAGGTGTGTCACTCACACAGGTGTGTCACACACTCACACAGGTGTCACACACTCACACAGGTGTATCACTCACACAGGTGTGCATGGCTCCTGTGGCGGGGTCAGTGCCTCAGGTCACCGTGCCCAGGTGTCACTCACACAGGTGTGTCACACACTCACACAGGTGTCACACAGGTGTCACACACAGGTGTCACACACACAGGTGTGTCACACACTCACACAGGTGTGTCACACAGTCACACAGGTGTCACACAGGTGTCACACAGGTGTGTCACTCACACAGGTGTCCGTGGCTCCCTGGGCGGGGTCAGTGCCTCAGGTCACCGTGCCCAGGTGTCACTCACACAGGTGTGTCACACACTCACACAGGTGTCGCACAGGTGTCACACACAGGTGTCACACACACAGGTGTGTCACACACTCACACAGGTGTGCCACTCACACAGGTGTGTCACTCACATAGGTGTGTCACACAGTCACACAGGTGTCACACAGGTGTCACACAGGTGTCACACAGGTGTATCACTCACACAGGTGTGCGTGGCTCCCTGGGCGGGGTCAGTGCCTCAGGTCCCTGTTCCCAGGTGTCCAGGGCGGCCGCGATGTCCTCGTCCGTCAGCGCCCGCTCGGGCCCCTCCTCGTCCTGTGGGCACCAGGTGAGGGGGGGGCCGCCCTCACCTGTGCCCCCTCCCCCCGTGCCCAGGCCCTACCTGGGGGTCTCCGCGGGGGCCCAGGTGTGGCGGGGGGTGCTGGGCCAGGTGTGCCCGGAGCTCCGGCAGCTCCCGCGGCAGCAGCGCGGCCGCGTCGCGACACGGCCCCCACTGGGACATGGCCCCGAACCAGGAGCGCAGCACCTGCAGCTCACCTGGGCAGGTGAGAGAGAGGGCACAGTGAGCACCTGCAGCTCACCTGGGCAGGTGAGAGAGAGGGCACAGTGAGCACCTGCAGCTCACCTGGGCAGGTGAGAGAGAGGGCAC